TTTTTTTTTTTTTTTTTTTTTTTGGAGAGATTTTCACTGTAGGGCGCGTGCGCTCGCCAGACAGACACAGAGAGACAGAAAGCGAGAAATCACCCCCCAGGGGGGACGGTCACGCCGCAATCCCTTCTCCTCCATTCTCCTCTCGGGATCTTGGGCACGCACGCACACGCCCCCGGCTTGAGTTTTAAGCCACCTGGTCCGGGACACGAACCGCGGTCAACTACGTGGGAGTCCAGCGACATAGCCATTACGCTAACTGCTGGTTCCCTGTCCTTGAGGTCTTTCAGGAACATTCTTTTTTGCTCATCGTGGCAGGATACTTGGAACAGAAAAGGCAGCTATGAGTACCCTGAGAAAGGTCCTCAGGTCTGCAGGGTTCATTTCCATAGCATCTGGGGCACAGGGAGAGCGAACTGTCTCTTAAAGAGCTGTAGGATTCAGTATAGGATGGAGGCCCACCAGTGAGTGGTCCCTGGACACCTCTGGAGTGAGCTCTGAGCTCTCTTGCATCTCTCTTGAGCTAGCCTTGTTCCTGTAGTTGTGTTCATGAGCAGTTTACATTCCTTATGGAGCAGCCACTGTGATGCTTTGCACAATGACACGATGTGTCACTGCACGAATGTCCCAGGCCTTTGGTGGCCGAACACCTCTGCCCCTTCAGTCATGGCAAGCTACTTAAAGTTGAAGACTGCTTCTCTGGGGCGGGCTCTCAGGCAGATTCTTTCCTTAAGAAAAGTGGGACATGACCGAGACTTCTTCATACACCCCCCTGGGAAATCATAACTACTTATTGAGATCCTTAAACAAAAATGTCCATCTAGCCCGCTGCACACTGGGTATATTCCTTGCCTTTGGCAGCCCCCAGGTGTATGGCCATCCCTGGACTGTTTCCACTGGCTGCCCAAGATGAGAAGGGTACAGTCAGAGGTGACTCTCATCTGCTGTGGGTTTCCAGAGGCCATAAATTGCATCTCTCTCTTTTTTGCCCATGCTCAAAGCGAACTGAGAAATGGATAGAAGACATAAGAATATAGTTTTATTAGGATAAAACAAGATCAGAGAAGGAGATTTGGCCATGGTAATTCCCACCAGAATTAAACTCCCTATCACCAGCCCAGTGGCTAAGCTCAGACTTTCCCAACCAGGGTAGGCACTGAGCATCTCTCAAAAATCAGAGTGCTCTACTCTGTGGGGCAGGAACTGGATATTGATTTTTCCTGGTATATGGATGGTCATCCTCCCAGGTGTGTCCGTCCTTCCACATGGAAACCAGAGGCAAGGGTAATAATAGCTGCATCCAACCTTCCCACATGGCTGCCAGGGCTTCAGCCATATAGAGGACCTGAGGAGCTCTTCTTGTCTACATACACAGCTAGGGTCAGAGGTAAAGGATTGCTGCTGAAGGCACCTATCCCTTTAAAAAGATCAGGGACTCTTCTTCACATGGAATTAGCTACAAAGAAAGAATTACTAGACAGAGCTGTGGGCCGGAATGGCTGCAGGAATAATGAGTAGAGCTACTGTTTGTGGTTCTTACCCTGGAATCCAGCACCAGTAAGTACTTGGCTTCCATAGTCTTAGATCTGGAATATCAAAGAGTTCCAGATCTGTATTTTGCTGACTTCAGGCATGGAAAGTAATGGATTGGGTGCTACAGGAAGGCCCAAAGAGCCCTAACCCTGCAGACATCAAAATCAAGAAAGAAGAAACACCTGTGAGTTGGAATTGCGCCCTACTTGTTCAAGGCTGTGCACCAGCCTGGCACCACCTCCATTTGAACTGCAGATAGGTGGGTTTGGAGATTGCCCAGAGCACACCGACCCCCAGCTCCTATACATGGCTGGGTACCTTGATCACCATTTACTGCCCTACTCCTGACAGCGAGCCCTTTGGTTGGCTGGTCGTCATCTCTTTGTGTGATTGGCTAAGGGGGTTGTTTCATTTTAAAGTGAGCTTACTTTTAGTGAAGTTTCTCTGTTTAACATGAGTGTAGAAATGCTCAATTTCACTTTCAAGGTGAATAACTAGATAAAGCTGTATCTCCACCAGTCTGTCTGAGTGGGGAGGCCATGACACCCTGTAGGAGAGGTAAGGGCAGGAAGGGGCTTTGAGTCTGGGGTCTTCGCTGGGACCAAGTAGAAGAGCAACATCCCATGAAGGGAATTAATGGAAGCTGGTGCTTCTTAGACTTTTCCAGGTACTTGGACATCCACAGAGGGAAATCATCCCCAACACGTGGGGCACTATGTAAAGCAGGAGATGGCAAACTTTCCTATAAAGGGCCAAAGAGTTGATATTTTTGGCATTGACAGTGCAGCCCCAGACAACGTATAGCAAAAGGTTTAACTGTGTTCCCATAGAACATGATTTACTAAACAGATTATGGGCTGTGTTAGGCTCACAGCCAAGGCTGGCCAGCTCCAGGCTGGAGTGATCTGTGTAAGTCTAGTCTTCTCTGAAGCTTTCCATTATGTCTTAGGCATGTTTGAGGATGTTCCATACCAACCAGAATTGGGAATGTAATTTTAAATTTTATACATGTACATTATAAATTACTCACTAGGTAAAATTTTCTCCTCCCAAATCTTGGCATACAAAGAATTCTCTAGAAGGTGCCCCACAATTGCTTCAGGACATGTGTTCTTCCTGGAGCCCATGCCAAGACCTCCAGAGACTCAATGGCCTCCAGGTAAGAAGTAATGCTGAGAAAGTACCAGCACCAGTGGCCCCATAACAACAGGCCTCCCATGGCACCAGCCCTGCTTGGTGGGCACCTGACTAGTTGTAATCAGGACTTGTTGTTGACCCCAAAGGTCCCACTGGCCCAGCACCCAGACTGATGGTGACATCTCATTGTTTTGCAGATCCCCATTCTCATCCCGTGCCATAGAGTGGTCTGCAGCAGCGGGGCCATGGGCAACTACTCCGGAGGACTGGCTGTGAAAGAATGGCTTCTGGCCCATGAAGGCAGCCAGGCACAGAAGGCAGCGCCGGGAGGGAGCTTGGGTCCAACTGGGACCTGGCTCAGGGCAGCAGGTAGCACCACCAGCTCCCAGCATGCTGGCCGAAATTGAGTGTGTATAGGAGGGGTAAACATTTGAGTGACATATAAATGTAATACCACATCTGAAGTGGGAGCATGGTGGCACCACAATATTAAAAAAGCTGGATGTATCCTGAGGGATGCAGCGTGTCTGCCCTTTCTTGTTTTTACATTTTATAGCAAAACGAGTTCAGATGACTGGTCGTCGTGCATGTCGTTGGTTCCATTCTTCTTACACTGTTACTCCATTTTTAATCTCCATTAAAATAAATATGAGAGGGAGGAGGAACTGGTAAGTATTATGGCTGCTGTCCTGGAAGAGGTCACATCTGACACCCATAGGCAGCAGCTGGCTGCATCAGATGCCATCCAGAGCCAGCTCAGGGCCCACACCCCACTCACACCCATCTCAGACTGTCCACACTGAAGGGCTGACCCCAACATGGTCCCCACTTTGCCCTTTCTAGTTGTTTCCACTGCTAAGATGGTGTTTGACACCTACGGTTCTTTATATTCCATACACAAGAAAGGAGACTGAGCAGTGTAAGTAGATGCTTCAGAGAGGTTTTCTAGCTTTGGTTTTTGACTGTGAGAAAACTAATACACTTACTCAGATCTATTACCTATTGAATAGAAAATACCCATTTTCCAAAGAAGATTTGGAAAGATCAGTAGCCCTTGGGATGTGAGTTTGGTTGAGCAAATAGCTTTCTGAGCACTCGAGTCTCACTCCTAGATTCCAGCCTCCTTCTATTTCTTGGCTTAGCACACTTTGGGCAGCAGGTGGAAAGAGGCATAGGCCTCTCCTCCTAGAGGACCAAGGGCCTGTTAGGGACCCAGCATCCCCGTGTTGAGCTAGACATCAAAGGTCACATGCAATGGTGGGTCAGCTCGTGTGGCTGACAGCATAGGGAGTTTTCCCAGCATCTGTGCACTACAGATACTTCATTATCATGTTGTCATTTTAGCTTTATAATTAACTATATCTGAAAAGCAAAAGTACACTTGTAGCTCTGCATATGGATAAAATAGAACATGTGATCTGTAGAGAGAATAAACTGGATCCAACTGTGCAATAGAAAGGTGTATTTTTAATCAAGGGTTCCTTGTGACAGTATAAACCACAGCAGAGAAGCTGAAGTGGTTTGTATATCACCCAAAACCTGGATAAAAATATAGCCTTATGATGTAGATAGTTTGGATATACTTTATATTTCATATTACCTTAATACCAACAAAGGAGATGCCTAATGAAAACAAACTTCAGGCTTTCCTCAATATAGTTTATTCTTACGATTTCAGCAATGCTTAAAGCCATAGTCTGGGGGTTTTCCCCCCTTTAAGCAGAATGTGATATGACAATTATCTTCATTGTCTTATGATTTTTTTTATCCTCAATACTTGATCTTAGAAGCAAGTTAGTCATATAGTGTGGGTCATGTTGATGGCTGATTTTTGAGGACAGAGCCCTGGTCCACGTTGCCCCAGGCAATCTTTATGGGTGCCACACCTGCTCCTTAGTGAACTGTGTACACATTGTAAGAACTGTCTGGTCTCTGGGTTATTTCAGCTCATTTTCTGATTTTCTCTTGCTGTGAGAGCAGAGTGGACCGTTTCTGTGTTTTTGATGGCGAGTGGGAAGAGGCTGAGTTCACTGTGCATCTGGGGGCCACGCATAGAGCCGTGCTCTGTATTCTCTGTGGAAAACCCTTCTCCCCAGCCTTGGCCACTGTGCCTGTCACACTATGCCTTTCTTTGCCTGGTTCTCAAAGGCAGCAGCTTTCAGCCTACTTGGCCTGTCTGTGTGTTGTGTGTGACTGCTTTCCAATAGAGGGCACTGTAGCTGTGCAGTAGGCCGTTGGGAGACCCCCAGCCACCAGTTCTACTTCAGGATAAATTGGAAAATGGGCAGCAGGGTGGAGCTCAGATGGTTCCCTGTGTCAGCCCTGCAAACTGCCTTCTGCACTTGTACATGGATGGTAGGCATGCGTCCTGCACACAGGCCACCCTCCTAGGCCAGGAGTGTTTGGTTCTCTTAAGGGGAAAGTCCCAGTGTTATCACCAAATTCCTAAGCTCAGCCAGACTCTGAGGGAGGGCCCAGGGGCTAGACAGCAACCCACATGCAGCCAGTGAGGACAGAGACTCCTAGCACAGGCCAGCAGTTAGGGAACCCACCCATCAAAGCCCCCCCATGGTGACCCAGCAGCTTCCCACCACGTGGATCCATATGCAAGCCTATTTGGGACATGCCATTCGTGCAGTACAAAACCACACTCTACTTTCGTCTCCAAAGGTTTCCTCGGCCCTGTCATAACAGGCTTGATAGATGCCCCGAGGTTCCCTCTGACAGAGGCGGCAGCAGGGCTCAAACCAGCGTGGCCATGTACTGCTCCAAGGACAAGCTCTGCAGAGGCCGACATGAAAAGCCAGTGCGTGGCTCGCCTAGAGCCGCTCTGGCTCGAGGTTTTAGCACAGCTTATGAAAATAAAGAGGAAAAGGAAAGGCACAAAGAAATACAAAAATATTTTCCAAATAAAAAGAAATGTCGAAACAAGAAAGCTGTGTTCTTGGCCTTGGCCCCGGGTCCCCTTCACCTATCGGGTTTCCCCAGCCAAGGCTGTGGTGCTTTGACGCTGACACACAGCCCCGCGGACAGCATGACAGCTGGCTCCTCTGTAGCAGCCATACCAGCCGTACCATTCCCACTCCTTTCCAGAGACGGAGATAATGAAACATTCAGAAATATTTGTTTTTGCAGAACCATGCTTGTAATGAAATAGGTGCCCTTGTAATGATATAGGAGATCGAGTTTTATGAGGGGTCGTCGTGTTCTTCTCTGTCTCTTTTCCCTGTTAGGAACAGAAGTGTTGAGTAAATCCATCCGCATTTGCCCATGGCCACATTGAATGATGAAACGACAGAGCACAAGTCTGACTTCTTTACACCCAAAGAAGAGAAACTACAAACATAAGTGTCTTGGTGCTGGCCAGTGCTGAGTTAGGAAATCTGGAAGGGCTCTCACTTCAGGAGTTGTAGAACTCAGTGGGATCATTATCTTGCAGTTCTGGAGAGGTGGTAGGCAGCGGGTATTTCAGAGGAAGTGGGCAAGCTCACCTTATAGGTAACTTAATTGGGGCTTTTAATTCGTATACACTTCTCACCCAGCAGAAACAGCTTACTGAACAGCCCTCAGGTGGCTCGATAATTTGCTAGAGATTGAAATCGCCTTTGTAACCTGACTTTTTTGTAGCATCTTTCTTCTGTGGTTTATACTCCCCACGTACTGTGTAGTTACCCAGAATTCCCTGCGTAGCGGGGCCAAGCAAGTCCAGTACAGATACGTTTATGTTGAAACCATCAGTTTCTGTTTCTTAAATTGTTTTTGAACACCAGTGTTATCCCCGAACTTATTTCTTACGAAACTGCAGAATAATAGTAAAAAACCTGTACATAGCAAATGCTTAAAGACCTAAATGATAGTGTGACCCAGTAGGACCCATGTGGGGTTAGGGACTATCTCAAAAGTAGCAGCTCAAGAGATTCTTGGAATGATGTAAAATGCCCAGATGTGTGTTCAGATTTCACTGTAGTCCCTGGCCTAGTGCTATAAGAGCATAAAAACACTTCTGACCACATCTCCCTTCCCATGTCATCCACTCTGTGCTCCACTCTGATTGTAAACGTTGGCAGAGGAACCAGCTCGGACATTGGAACAGGTAGAGTGTCACAGCTGAGCCCACATGAAAATTGTCCATTTCACTCCAGAGCCTGCCAGAGATCTCAGTGCTATTTAGGTTTCAAACAGCATATAGGAGAACTCTGAAGTGATAAATTGGGTTCATGTGGGACACAAGTTGGGAAAAGTTTTATTTTACTCAAAGGTTTTCCTAGAAGACCAATCAGGAAACTACACTTGCCTTCAGTCTCCAACTGCGAAGATACATTAGAGTCTCCAAGTAGCTCAAGTATCTCATTTGCATATTTTTTGCTGCCTGTGGCAATAGGGTCATATAGGATAGGTGGGGTCATGGTGGATAGTTGGAAGCCCTCAAGTGGGAGAATTAAATCTGTTTTACCTCTCTCAGGCCATATGGGCTTTTTTCTTTATTATTCATGGGCATTTGATTAAAAGTTTGTGTTTAAGAAGCTGAAGTTCACATCAATTTTACTTATCAGTTTGAAAGGCATTAAGATTTAAACAAGACTGCAGAAGGCCAGTGCCAAGCAGCCCCTGTCTTTCTGTCTGAAGGAATGGGGAGGTGGCGGTTCAAAGCCAGGGCCAGAGCCTAGAGAAACTGCAGGTACCAGCATGCCTCTAAGTGACGGAGGGCAGCCGTCTAGGGTTCTCGGGACCCTGCGGCTCCAGCTGCTGACAGACAGAGAACGTCTGGCCTCTATCACACAGGTCGGCTCCGCAAGGATCTATCATGGGGTGGGGGCTGGGAGTGGATGAGAAAGTAGGAAGTGGACGCTGGGCAGTGAGGTGCAAATTGACGGCAGAGCCCAGCCCGACAGTGCCTTTGATTGATGAAAGGACATTGTTAACAAGCCTTTAAAGTTTCTCATTAATGTTTCTTTTTTTTCATTGAAGAAAAGCCACAAGAAAAAAATTCCACATGGACAGTAATTAAGATCGATCTGGTACAGTGTAGTATCAATGTTGTCGGGACTCTGAGAAACAAAGCCGTCCTATTATATACGTATTTCCAAGCTGCCATTTTCTGGGTTGTTGAAAGTATACAGGAGGTGTGGGGAGCATGGGATGCATTGTACATTTTGTACTTAGATGGGGTTGGCTTTGCAGGTAACCTGTTATCACCGTGGCCTGAACAGTTTCCAAATTTTAGTTGTCATAAACCTGATGCAGTGGGCCAGAGAAAGTGGGAGAGAGAATCTGCTGCTGAAGAGAGGCTGGGATTCTCTGCCAGGTCTGCCTTAGTCCTGTGGAGCACGTCTGAGCGAGTTCTATGTTGCATGTGTGATTCTCACCAAAGATGCTCAAGCCCAGGGCGAGGGGCACACGAGGCAAGGAACAGATGGGTGGGGAGCTTTTTCTCTCCTCATTCCTGAGCAGTGGATCGAGTCATTCCCTTAGGTACACACAACACTTCACACACACTCACTCACACACACATTT